CACCATTCATATTCAGGCGTTACTATAATGCAGAGAATAATTTCTGATTATCGTTTGTCGAATAATAATTCAATTAAGAGGGACATTTTTCGCAAAGTAAGAACTCTGAATGTATTCGAGCAATAAATAACGAATAAATTTCACCGTTGGTCCTCGCAGAGGAGTTTTCGCGTAGATAGACGAACCGCGTTCGTCTGCATCCCGTCGCTTCTTTTGCTTCACACACCAACAACTTAAGAATATCAGCACGAACGCCTAAACATAGTTTTTTTTGAATGAGCCAATTGATTGTGAACTGATGGAAACATAGAAATTTGTTCGTAGTTGAACGAAAAGAATCAATTAAGCAATTTTGTTCACTGACCATAATTATACCAACAGTTGCGGAGACAATAGTTAACCATTTGAAGAGATTATCCCTCTCTCTGGAACGACACCACGGCTGTGAGCCTTTATTCCATTCGAAACGATACTGGTTTGGATCGTAGTAATCCACCACTACACCACCTATAAGTATGACTCTCATCAGTAACGAAGGGTTTCGTTTAATTTTAGATACGCAAAACCATGGGTGCTTATTCGAGAGTGCAGTTGAATCGCAAACTATGCACGCAGAACCCTGCGCATGAAACAACTCGATCAGGGAAGTGAATGAAGCAATTCTTCCTTCCAGACAATTCAACAGTCATATTTATTTACTGCAAAAAGCGCAAATCCTTCGAGTATTCGAAAAAGAAACAAAATTTTCATACATTTGTATTCGTTTTCGCCTTTAATCCAATGCGTTTGGAAACAATCGAACCGTGCCACATCGCCTTGCAAATAGCCAGATGCGAGCGATGGTGTTTTCATCAAATACTCTGGATACTCTATATTGATTGGACCACAACTATTGTCTGCAAAACATAGTTCTCATTAATACGAAACTTTGATCACAGTCCTAAATCCACCGTCCACCTCAATTGTTGATTTGTAGGATGAGGATGTTGAAATGTTGAAGTGAAGATAGCATAGCTAGGATTTCCGTAAATTGTGGGATAATATCTACTAATTGGAACCAAGAACGTCTCAATGGGAATCAAAAATATAAGAAACAAAGCTTCTAAATGAGATCAAATCACAATTTCTTCAGATTTTACCTAATGGAATTGCGAGACAAAACTCTCGCAAATGTTTCCCATTACATCACATTCATGCTGTTTNCATTGTATAGTCGTAAAGACACGGAACATTATCGCCACATTCTTGGATTATTTGACTCGGATTATCGGGACAGTGTGCAATGCCGTATTGCTCGTTGAGAGAACTTTGTAGCGGCTGCATATTCACTGCAAACGAACGAACATTTTTACCACAAGAACATGCTCCAGAGCGCAATCAGTGAAATTTGCATGAGACGATCGAAATGGGATTGTGATCAAAATAAATGGTTGTTTATAGCCGTGACGAAATGATCAACTGGTATTCGAGTGTAATGCGGTATTTCTTGGTAACCTTGTTGATTTTGTTGAAGATCT